CCGTTCCCAGGAGGGACGGATCAAATAATGGTACAGCAGTTTCATACCATGGTATAATAAATTTAAAAAATGTGAGCACAAAATGAAAATTTGTGTAGCGCGAAGCGGTCCAAAATATTTACATTCCTCTTGTTCTATCGTCTGACAAGTTTTTAGCAGTCACATGAGAGTTGATCGCACACGAAAAAAAGAGAGAATAAAGTGCTGCGGGCCAACAAAATATAACCACTTGTGCACTTGACCACATGCATTTTCAGGCACCATTAACTCTGTTCTCAAAAGCGTTATCTAAGGACTGTGCTGTTCGAAACATTATTATCACATTTTGAACGGTTAAATAATCTTTTATCGAAAGCTTAAACAAACGCAATGTGCAACAAGTTCTGATAGCTCTTGGAAGTTTGTTCCAAAGCTTTGAGCAGTGTATTAAGAAGAAACGCTCCCTAATTCGCGTATTGAACTTTGGAATCATGACCGTTGTCTCCTTATTTCGTAGCTCGTATCTAGTGTTAACGGACATATGGACACAGTTAGCATAATTGTGCATGTGATGGTGAATTATTCTGTACAGGAAACACAAGTTCATCTTCATTATCCGTAGCCAAAGTGGGTCAAGTCCAAGTTTTTCACTGCGCTCTCTGTAGATCATCTTGGAGGAATATCCGCACAGCTTCTTTGTAAAGCGTCGCTGTACCCTCTCAAGAGCATGCTGGTCAGATTTCCGCAGATTCGACTGTAGTAGTGAGCAGTATTCCATGCCAGGTAATACATATGTTTTGTAACGCCAGATACGAGATTCTGTGAGTTGAAATTTATGACAGATATAGCCAATAGTCTTCATGGCTTTCGAAACTTGGAAGTCACAATGTTCCGAAAAGTTGAAGGTAGTGGAATACCGCACACCCAAGTCGCGAATCACTTTGCACTGTGATATAAACGTGCCTTGTAATAATAGACTGCCTGGTGGAACTTCGCATTTGTACGACAGAATATTACACTTGTCCACGGAAAAGGACATATGCTATAGTTTGCTCCAGGATTCAAGTGCCGATAGATCTTCCTGAATATGGCACAAGGCTGCGCGGGTATTTGCACGTTCTTGTGAGTAGACGATTTTAATGTCATCAGCAAACAGAGAAGTAGCACCATGTCTTATTCTATGAAATACATGGAATGCATTCGCCTGAATGATCCACTTCAAGCTGTAAATCTACCTCAGAGGCTAAAACACCCATGGTATTTTAAACGTACAGAGTTCCAGCGACAATTGATAAAACGTGTGGTGCGATAAATACGTAATGCTGATTATCTGTTGAACACTATCCATGTGAGGACTAATCAAATGGAACCTTCCACGAGTGTCGATCAGACCACAAAAACGATGTAAAACAGCATCAGAAAAAATGCTAAAAATTAACGATAAACACATCTTATGTGCACTGACGAATTTATAAAATCCATTTGCATGCCTGTATACACACTTAAAATGTATTCAACACACTCCGCTATTCAGCATACCAACAAGGAGGGCCTGTTAATGATCCCAACTATATTCAGCGAATTCACGAGACAGCAAGTGCAAATGGATTACCAAGAGTGAAACAGCGATTTCACTAGATGTCACAGACAACCTTAAATGAGGTATTATTTTGCTGATTGTATCGTGCACAACGTGAATTATAAATGGCACAGTAATGCCCCGTGGATAATAAGTGAATTATCTACAACCATTTGGTGGGTACCCTTGCAGCACCGTGTAAAGCGAAAGAAGGTTTACATTCGAAGGAAGTGAATGTATAGGTCGATACATCGCGGTAATCTCGTGTTACCATGGTTACATGTTTAGTCTAATTAGCCAATGAAAAATTTATTGTTTCAGGAATGTGATGTCCCCCAGTTGCTAACATCAAGCAGATTTGGGAGTAACCTCGGAGTAAACTGCGATGCGATATCAAGGGAGTAGATTAGGAAACTGCTAGTATGCTGCCTTGGCAAATAAAATGGGCGATACTCCATCAAAGAAGGGAAAGAGGCAAATGGATCACGTGTTTTAGCTACCACATAAGCAAACCAAGAGCAGATCACATGTGTAGGCTCAATGCGAATGAGTATTGGGTGGGGAAGTGGTTGGATAAAAGACCCAGTGGTCACAAAGAAACATTTATCAGATAAGGGAGAATGTAAAACTGGGATTGAAAATTGGCTAACCTAACAGTTCAAATAACGTAGATGGGAACATTTGCATTAGTGGAAAAGATAATGGATACAAAGTGGAGTTTGGAAGGGGAAAAGGACTATGAAAACGGTCAGGGGGACAAGAACGAATGTTGCAAAGGTGAATTGAAGGTAAACGAAACAGAGAAAAAGTTTCGGACAAGGACAAATTCGTACAACCACCATTGTGGACATTGCGATCTGCAGCGCAACAAAAAGGCGGATTAACGTATGCTGCCAGATACACATCAGAAAAGACAAGCGCCTAAAGGGATTCTGCATCGGCCGTGTACGCCTGATTCAAGTGACCCTAATAAACCCTTGGTACCAGAAGGCAATGGGTACAATATTTCCCGAAGTAAGATTATAACACACAAAACGACTGCATCGTAAATGTGTTGGTTGGGAGAAACACATGCCCACCAGTCTCATCTGTCGGGCGTCATGGAATACTAAGCAACTGTTTTCAACAAAATCTCTTCAAGTGCTTAAAGCCACGCAGAACAGAAGATGATATGCGAGAATGCAGCGAAGAAATTCAAGATTACTCATTCGCTAAGTGATGAGGCAGAGCATAATTTCGGATAGCACAGGAAATGTGTCATATGGCACGATGAAATCAACAGAATAGCATGACACCGGCACAAGTTTACTTAATACAAGTAATTGAGTGGATACCTGGATCGCTGAGTTGAACATTCGCGGCAGTGGTTCAACTAACTACATGCAGTTAATGAGTGCTCTGTTTGAGTCATCTGGAATCGGGTATCGAAGGGGACTCGAATTTGTCACTGAGCTAAGCATCATGGATCATTGCGAGATAGGAGCAATCCAGTGGCAAGACAAGGAGAGTCAAGAAATGGTCTGATTTAACAACTGTCGCAGATCGACAATATCACTGTTCCAAGTAAGTCAGAAATAGACCAACATAATTATGGAGACTTCGTCAAAGCCTAATCGTTAACTGGAAGAGTCGTGCTTGTCAGGTGTAGGTTGTGAACAGCAGTGAATGGAAATTCGTCTGGCAGAAGTAATAGTGGTAACAATACAAATGGTGGAGCAAAGAATTATACTGGCACGTGCATCGTGTTCCGAAAAAGAATCAAACGTGTACTCCAGAAGCAGAACGACGCCAAGTTCCGAAAAGCCAGAACAGGCTCCATGAGAATAGATCGCAAGCGAAAGTGGAGCCCCTGATGAAAAACTGATGGTGAGATACATTAGAGCTCATACGACTGTCGCTAAATTGCATAAGAGCCATAATAAATGGTGGAGTTGTGGGAAAGAAATGCCTTGCATCCAAAGTAGTTTCAATATGTTTTTATGATTGGGTGTTACTACAGGCGGACGATTTTTCCCTAATCTGTGACAGCTTCCAAACATGCCAAGCAGCACTGAACCGATTAGCACTGGCTATCTATCGTTTCGGGCTATGCTTTGCTCCATCGAAATTCAAAGCATTTTCCAAGATTAGCAGAGACCTAACCCTGCGCTAACGCTTTGTGGTGATCAACTAGAAGTCGTTCAGGAATTCAAGTACCTGGGCAGTTATATTAATGCCCGTGGGATCGAAGATGACGTTACGAACCTTATGGCAAAAGCTCGAGGTGTTTTTGCCAACCACCGCCACATGTGGCGCAGACGCGACATTACTATCGCCCTGAAGGGCAGAGTTTACAACGCAGCCGTCTGTTCAACTCTCCTATATGGCTGTGAAATCTGGCCCATCAGGTCAACAGACATAAAGAGGCTCGTCACATTCGATCATCGCTGCCTTCGCAGCTTAGCTCATGTCTGATGGGAGCACCGCGTGAGCAATGAGCGTGTTCGGCGTCGCGTATTTGGTGCAGGAAGAGCGGGTGAACCGCTCAGCACCATTATATCACGCACCAGGCTTCGATGGCTAGGCCACGTGTTGCGCATGCCAGCACATCGACTCCCGCCTCGTGCATTGTTTGCGCGCCGGCGGTGCGGTTGGAAGAGGAGGGGAGGCCAAGCGATGACTTGGTCGAGAGGAATGAAGTTCCTCACTTCGAACTTGGCGTCGGTTGGTGCATCCCGACTGCCTGGCTGGGGTCCTAAGGACGATGAACACGTTTGGTTGGACACATTTGCTGATATGGCTAGGAGCCGGCACCAATAGCGTTTGTGCTGTGAGTTCCTTTGTCCACACCCCTGCTTAGCATCCCCCTCCAATCACGATATCAGTCGTTAGGGATAATATAACTTGTTGTGGCACGATAGCCGGCTGTTAGCTCTCCGGAACGATGCCCATCCGTTACTGGGGACTCAGCCGGCGTGCCACAGTTTTTCTTCTCCTTGTCTTTTGTATTGCGGCACAATAGCTGAGGTGTTTTTCACCTGCAGCTAACGTGTAAAATGAGTGAGTGGATAACAAGCGGAAATTCCGCGGGAGCATATAGCGCCAGAAACAACAACAACTGCGCCTATAGGCACAGTTGCAAAGTGTAAAAAAATTCAGGGATAACCGGACGAAGCAGCCAAAAACTGGACCAATGGAATACCACATCACTTGTGACCTAAATATGATTGCTGAGAACTCTAAGACCACTTGCTAGCGGTCCACAGGAGCAACCTTTCGTTGTTTGAACATTGACGGGGAAAGTTGCTGAAAGCTAAAGACGCGAACCCAACAGAAAGTGAGCGCCGATCAATCCAACTGAGAATTCGATTGGCAAAAACGTTCGGAAGGAAACATGAAGTAGGAAACCTTCAGTCAAGAGGAGAGAGAAAGAAAGAGGACGGCATGTGCATGAAATGCTCACCTTCTGAAATGATTCAACTGGCTCAAATTGGCAAACAGATAGAAAATATAATACGAATACGGTGGATTCTCGTTAAGGCAATAATTCTCAGGAGTGGGAGTTAACTGATTGAACACCACCTTGTCCGATTTGGACTCGTCGTCAACGGAATCGAAGCCTGTGACGTACTGCAAGAAGGCATGCAACTCCGGATGGGAGTTCGGATCAGCGGTCACTTCGAACAATGGTTGAAACACGTTTGTAATCATGTCCTGAGGGGAAGGAAGCAAAGGTAGAGAGGGAGTTCAACGTGAGTGAATACACACTTGAGAAAGTAGACGACAGACCGCAGTCACCGAGCGTGAATCAGAATGTGTGTTTTTACTCGTACGTTTACCATCGGGTGTGAAGATGGTTTATGAGGCAGGCGCAATGCGATCAGAGAGAAGATTTGCACAGTTCTGCTAGCTTCAATGCCGAAGCACATTCACATATCAACAATAATCGTCATCATCATTATCACATGACAGAGGTGATGGACACTTCGGCTATTGTGACGTAATACAGTACAACTACACAGGCGTAAAGAAAAGCAAGAGAAAACAACAAAAAGATGAATATTAACTTTACATGCATCAATATCGGGAGTGTAGTTGAAGTGAGATGGACAAAGAAACTCACAATATAAACAATGCCATGTCAAGACGTGTATCCAACCAAACGTGTTCACCATCATTGGGACCACAGCTGGGAGGCACCAACCGACGTCAACTTCGAAGTGATGGTTTTAATTCCTCACCGTTTGCCTTCCACTCCTTTTCTTCTATCCAGATCTCGATCGCACAAACAGAGCGCTTCGCGATAGTCGGTGGACTGACATACGTAAGACATGACTAAGCCTGTTGCGGGAAATCCCGATGCTGAACGGAGCATTTTCTTCTACTGCAAAGAATACAAGGCGCCGAATACGCTCATCGTTCATGCGGTGTGCCCGCCAGACATGAGAAGCGATGGTCGAACCTAACAAGCCTCTTTATGTCTGTCGACCTTATGGGCCAGGTTTCGAAACTGTACAGGAGGGCTCAACAGAGAGTCGCATTGTAAACATTGCCCATCAGAGCGAGACTGACGTCACACCGGCACCACAGGTGGCGAAGATGGGAAAAAGCGTCTCGAGCTTTTTGCCATACGGTTCGTGACCCCATCTTCTAGTCAACAGGCGCTAATATAGCTGTATAAGGACTTAAATTTTTGCACAACTAGGTGATCACCACCAACGGTCAGCACAAGAGTGGGACCATGCCAATCTTGAAGAAGGACTTTGAATTTCGAAGGTGTAAAACATAGCCCGAAACTAGTGACAAGCAGTGTTAGTCTGTCCAGTGCTGCTTGGTACGTGCAGGAGCTGTTAGAGATAAGGGCAATATCATCGCCATTTTCTAAGTCAAGAAGTCAATCACCTGGAAGCAGCTCCACACCGTGCATGTCGTATCTGATGAACGCAGTCTCCATAAGTTCGTCAATAGTGAAGTTAAAAAGGAATAGTGACAGCAGGCATCCCTGCCCCACACCGCCGAAGATATTAATGGGCGGTGATATCATGTTATAAGTCTTCACTCTGCGCGTAAAGCGGTCTGATAATGTTCAAGTACATCTCGGGCACATTTTTCATAATCAAAAGTCCCAAGAGTAACATTAATCCATCGAACTGAGGGCACCCTTGATGTCTAGGAACACGACTACGGTGGATCACCAATATAAGCGGTGGTGCTCTAATAACTGCCGCAAAGTGAAGATGTGCTCATTGCAGCCTCGATTTTGAAAAAACAAGCTCACTCGGTACGAATCCGGCTTACAAGGGCGTTAGCGAATCGATGAAGAACAACAAACACAAGCAGAGGCAATTGAGATCAGATTGATGCTCCTCTGACTGCTGAATCCCGAATATAAGCACCTTTGAAAATTGGGACAATAACAGAGCGGCTCCAGTGACCTGGAACAGTCTCCTGCTCCCATTGATTTACAAGAGCATATCTTCCGAATTCGAAGAGGGCTGCAGGAAGTTCATCCGATTCTGCGGAATTATGCATTTCAAACAGTCAGGTCTGACATTGGAGTTCTGCGTAAGAGAGTGAGGATTAAAGGGAGAGGTCGGGCATTAGGAAGATCATAAGCCGACAAGAAGACTGGTAATTCTGGCCAATTATATTGCTTTCCAAAATGCTCAGCCCAACGTCTAAAGCGTTTTGACAACTTGTAGATGGGCTGACCAGTCTCGTCGCACAAAATTTCACTAACACTAGGTCTCATGCTACTCGTTTCCAATGGTTACAAATAGCACCGAATGTTTCCAACTCCGACTCAAGATGAAACCAGCCTTCGCACTCTCTCTTCAGGTGAGTAAGCAGTTTGATCCCGCGATGTTTGCATGTCATTTAGTGTTCAGTCGCAGCCAAAATGTGTCGGTAAGCACCCAGAAGTTACAGGGATTGCGTGGAGACCTAATACCCAGGTCGGTAATTGACGATTGGTGAACAGGAGACCAGTGACCTTCGGCTGTCCACTGAGCGATTACGCAGCTCAGAACATTTGGCTTCGAAGGTTGGCGTGTCTACGCGCTCATAACGCGTCACAAGCGTCCACCGAAACGAACCCGCAGATTAGCACATACCACTGCATGCTTGAAGTCGACGCTTGTGCTCCAAAGCGAGCGACAGTTTTGGACACAGCCTATCCAGTGGTAACTGATCGTGATCTGATCATTCTATGTCCATGGCTGATCCGACGATGGTGCGCGCCATGCAACCCTCAGACGGGTGCTGCGTCGGAAGTTAGTGCTTACGAGAAATAGACGAGTATCTTCACACAGGTGTAGAAACAGTTCACTGTCATCATTATGGGGTCCGACGCTGTCTTGACTGCCCGGATGCAGCTGACCATTGAACAATTTTCCAATTGGAGCATTAATTTCACAAATCGTGGCTACAGTGTCTGGACTTCTTCTGTGACGAAGGAGCTTGTTCAATTGACGATAGAATCAGCGCTACTGTTTTCAGGAGCGTGGGCAACAATGACAAAGAGGAACCTATTGGCTACGCGCGACTTCAAACTTTGAACAGATCAGTCAATCTGATGGCATCCAGTCGGTCAAGGCATCTGTTCATGGTACCAATCAGAGACGATCTAGCACGGCAAACCATCACCAAATTGTGGATTGTAAAGGCCCCACCGTCTAGAAGTTCAAAGCACCACGGTCAGGAAGACAAGTGCCACAAACAGGCCAGTATATCGATAATCTAAACTAAAGGCAGCGAGTTCATTAGGATAGACACTGTTAGGATGCCTAGGTAGTTCAAGCAACACATTGGAGCTGGTCAGGTAAAATGTAAAACTTGGATGCCAGGAATGAAAACCAAGTTGGTGCAGTTTTATAGTGTTGTGGGTAACGGTTCGTCGCAATCAGTGTTCAAAAACAACCACCATTTCAACATAAGATGTATTAACAAATCGTGTCACGTGACAACGAACCAGAACCTGCTATAATTGGTGGGTTCACCGAGTAAGTAAATCACAGGTTAGTGAGGCGGTGTTAGGAGATATGCTCGGACAAACCGATAAGCCGTCAGATAAAGCTGTCTTGACAAAATGAGGCGCGATGTTCTTCGTGTGTCTTTTGAATGCCAAAATCGACGAGTGGCACTTGTAGAGGATGCGCTTGGTAAGACAAGTTTGTAAGACGGTCGAGCGATGAAATGCATTGGTGAGCGTTGGTTTCTTCAGGATCAATAAAAAAGCTGTAGGGACAACTGAAGGACACAGTGCGTCAAAAGTGTAGGTTTTACGCTTGCGTTCAGTCTCTCGCTTTCAATTGTTGACACAATAAGCCTGCTTTCTTCCCTTAAACGTTACCTGAGTGACTTGATCAACCCACTTTTGGAAGCATTAGATGTACATCAGAAGTGTGGACATTAGATTTACGGGGTAATTCGGAGCTCGGATAATGGCTGATAAGTTAAAATGAAACAAGGTTTCGCAGGCCGAAAATAAAACGGAATGGAGATAATAATGCACACATTACATATTGCAGTGCGACTCGAGTGAACCAACCGATACCCGATATAGTTGGGCGGTGTGAGACAAGCATGTCCGTTGTCACCTTTCCTCTTCAACTTCGCTATTGACGAAGCCAAGGAAATCGCGTTCACAGGACACGCCTTAGAAGGTATGGATCTGCTCCCAGGAGAACGACTTTTTGACATGGAGTATGCTCACGATATTGCCCTAATCTGTGGCAGCTCACAGACGTGCCAAGCTGCACTGGACAGATTGGCGCTGGCTGTCAACCGCTTCGGGCTTTGCTTCGCACCCTTGATGTGTAAAGTGTTCCTCCAAGCTTGGCCTGGACCGCCTTCTGCGCTGACCCTCGGTGTGGATCAGCTAGAAATTGTTCAAAAATCCAACCACCTGAGAAGTTGTATCAGCGCCCGTGGGATTGAAGCTGAGATCACGAACCGTATAGCACAGGTTCGAGGCGCTTTTGCTAACCTTCACCACCTATGGCGCCGGCGCGACATCACTCTCGCCCTGAAGGGTAGAGTGTACAATGCAGCGGTACGTTCGACCCTACTGTACGGTTGTGAAACCTGGCCCCTTGGATCAGCGGACATAAAGAGGCTAGTTATGTTCGACCCCCGGTGCCTTCTCAATTTGGCTCACATTTGGTGGGATCACCCAGTGAGCAACCACCGTGTTCGACGCCTTGTTTAGGGTACAGGAAAAGGAAATGAACCGCTCAGCACCGTTATTTCACGCACCAGACTCCGATGGCTCGGCCATGTGTTACGCATGCCAGCCCATCGACTTCCGCGACGTGCGTTGTTTGTGTGCCGATGGGCTGTGGATTGAAGAAGAGGAGGGGTGGTCAAGCGGTGACTTGGTCGAAAGAACTGAAGGCCCTCATTTCGGAGCTTGTCTCGGTTGGAGCGGCTCGGTTCCCTGGTTGGGGTCCGAAAGAAGATGCACACGTTGGGTTGGACACAATTGCTGGTATGGCTAGCAGCCGACCTCAGTGGCGTTCCTGCTGTGAGTTTCTCTGTCCCTCCCCATCCCAATTATCCTCCCCTCCAACCACGATCTCACTATTTAGCCTTATATAATATTGCGTAGTAAATTTTTTTGCTACATAGTAGTCGGCTGGTAGCTTACCGGAACGATGTGCATCCGTTACCGGTAGCTCAGCCGGCTTGCATCTGTTGTACTTTTCCTCTTTGCTTCTGTTATGTATTTCGGAACAGTAGCTGAGGTGTTTCCCAACACAAGCTAACGTGTATCATGATGAGTGATGATGAGAGTTGGACGGTGAGGCCGTAGCATCAGTAAAGTGTGAAGTGAGGTTGGGGAGCGCAGTTGGGCAGTTTCGGCGAAGGGAAGGATGACATGTAGTTCGTTTTTCGCAACATGCCGATGAAAATGAGATCCAAAGTCGAGATGCTGGTTTTCTCGTTGAGCTGAACAATTCCATTGCAAACGTTCTGTCCCCAATCGGTGACGTACTCAATGCGTAATGGTGGTGGTAGTAGAATGTAGTAGTAACAGTAATAGCAATAACCTTGATAGCGGGAGCTGCGCTTTACAAAAATCCACGATGGATGCTTGAAGCGCGGCTCCTGCTATCAAGGTTCTCGCTATTAATGCCAATGCTACATCTAACACAACCATCACCACGAAGCACTGAAGATTTCACTTTGACCGGTGACAAAATGTCTGCAATCGAATTGCTCAGCACGGCAAGAAAACCAACATTTCAACACCCAACTCGGGCTACCAACATTTCGACTTATAGTAGAATTAAAGTTGATGAGCGATAGGGGAATAAATTCCAATTTTGAGCATTAAACGACACAACAAATACCTCAAGCGATCAGACAGCTCTAACCGTTCCACCTATCTGAGGTAGGTGCTAACAACCGACGCTACAGGCGAACAGTAAGATAGACTGCTACAGAGTAAATGGCTAGGCAGGGTAATATTGGATAAACGGGAATGATAACCCGCGCTTGATGTCTAGTGGATGGCTGCGGTCACAAACTGTGTGTGAAGCGAGTGTCGGCGAAACGGCGTCCCTCGATTGGCTCCCAAACCTGACAATTCAGTTACCTAAACCAAGGGAAAATAACGTCTAACCTCGTGAGATGACAAAAGGTAAAGTAACGCAATGGACAGTGTGCAGTTGAGGCACTGGGAAGCTTCAAATGCTGGTGTGATTTTACCGGATCGCCAAGGCACAGGGAGATAGAAGTGTGGCTGAGGTGTTAAGCGGAACGATCTAATCATCTAATTACACAAAAATAACAGAAATCAAAGGGTAGGTGAACAAACCAGACAAATACGGAAACGGATAACACAAGACGTCACCTGAAAGCAACTCATGGATCCCTTCGCATGGTAGACGTCATACAGGCGAGGGATTTGGATCAGCCAACGAACATTGTTTGAGTACACTTTGCAGTTGATCGCCCACTTGGCCAAATTGTCCCATTCGTGTATGGAACGGCCATAGATGGAGAGGCGTGGTTCAGCGTTTTGGTACTTCGACTCCTCGAGGTCAGAGAAAACTTCCTACATGGGAGGATGAATGCAAAAAAGCCAACAACCGTTTTCAAATTTATTTCGTAACGCGTAGCCAACGGAAAGGTGGACGGCGAGAAACATGTCCAGCGATTGGACTCCGAGCAGTAAGTGAGTATGCTTGTATCAAAAGGAGCAAAGGACACTGAACATTCGAAGTCCGGACCAGATACTAGAGAAACACAAATAAGCCACGATCCCATCTTCCGTTCCTTATCCGCTCACCATCTATGTGGAGCCCATCGCTAGTTGCAAGTAACACAAAACATTTGTAACGGGTATATAGCTTCTAGCTTACCTATTCAAGGTGTAAGTATTCTTTTGCCGCCTCCTCCCACACTCTATCTGTTACCGGTGTTCAAAGTGTCGCTCCTAAGTCTCTATGCATAGATTGTCTTTTACTTCTCCTACTATTAATTCACTCCCACCCCATTGATTACACCACTTGAACGACGTTCAACGCTTTCGGTCCATCAGCATCAGTGGAACAGGAATTTGATTTGGCCGCCTTAGACAATGTTCGTAATACCAGTTTGAATTTCTTTTAGACATGACTGGGCTGTGTCACACTTCTTTGAAAACATGCCTATTATTAAGAATATTATAAGAAATTTAGTGACGTTCCCAATAAATGTGGTCGCAAATCCGGAGCAGTTGTTGCGGCTATTTGGGGAATAGTGCGTGCTAAAACAGCAATGATTTATATTACGGAAGAATCTAGTTTAGGCCCCAATCAGATTGAAATCCAAGCGCGATAGCCATAAAGTCGTCCTTGCAAAGGTAACCGATAATGCAGATTTAGCGGCTGCGTCTGCTCACCCACATCCTACTTCCGGTGGTAAGTCAAGGAATTGGGGCCAGAAGACAGGCGGAGACTGGGACCTGTAGAGAACCATCAGTAACGAGGTACAGTGGGGTGCCTAGTAGATGAACACCTGTGCGAATGGGTGGTTTTGCTAATGAGACAGAAACAACGCTGGATTATCGCGGTACATGCAGATTGCAAACACAGGTGTCGTTTATGGAAAGCCATAGCAGATGGCCTAAGATGGAATCGTGGTACTAAGTGGGTTGAAGGAGCTACTGAAGTTAACAGTCAAAAGAATACCATCAAAAAACTCCGGGAGATAAGGAGATTGTAACCAATGAAGGCTTGCCGAATCGGTCGTATTTCCAGGTTTCATAGTTGGTGTCGTCACATGAACCAACTGAGTTCAATATTAATAGAAAGCTAAAGCCAGAGGGTGAGTAAGCAATTGCCTATCGCGCAGAAGACATCTGATACGGTGTGTAACTGTGTCATCGCGAGGATTCTGACGAAAACGTGACGAACGCAGCTCCAAAAAGGTGAAGCACGATGGATAGCGTTCACAACATCATCGGTGATCGATGGTGATAAGATGTTACAGATTCTGGAGCTTTATCAGAAATAAGTGTTGATAAGCCGTGTAAACAACAAAAAGTATCTGTGGGATTGTGCAAACGAAAGTAAGTCAGGCCCTAATGAGACGTGGCTGACAGGAAAAAGTCAATTTGTTAGCTATCATCTGTGCAACGATGTGCGCTGGACCCATCTGCCATGACACGTCGACAACAGTAGTAGCGACGGTAATATCAATAATAACAACAGTCATGATAATTCAGGAGGGCTGTAAAACAGTTAATATCGTCAGACAGAGTGAAAAATAGGCGTAAATAGGAGTGCGAATGGGAAAGCACCACTGACTTTACGAGTGCGCAACACTCGACAGCAATTCTGACTACTGATGTGGCCCATAATAAGGCCAAGCATCAAGAAGGCTGTACTCAATAACTCCGAACTTTAGACGAATAAGTTCGTACTTATTTTCATACAGCTGACTGAGAAGTTCAAGGTTCCACCCAGTTGGATTCAATGCTAGCAAACAACATACACAGAGGGGAGCAGTCTGCAGGTATGTGGGGCACGGGAACGAGCCAGCTAAGGAACTAACAAGATCTGTCTAAAGTTTCGTAAAACGCTTGCCCCCACCATAGCAGTGCATCGTGCAGCCTTTTTCCAGTGTCTGCTTCATGCCATACACTTCCATCTAAATAGAAACATGGAATCATAATTCTGATGTATGTAGGAGATAAGCGATCGGAACCCACCAACTACCGACCTATTACTCCTCCTCCTGTCTGTGGTGAAGACCACTTGGCTACCAGCGGGGCGGCAACGACCGACGTGACTAAATTAATAGATGTGATATAACGCCGCTCATAATATCATAATTGGAGGCTTAACTGTTGTCGTTTGATGAGTGAACTACTCTGTTCTCTGCACGGCAGTAAAGTGCAAGTCAGTGGATAGTGAGCGGCGCTATATCACATCTAGTAACTTAGTCACGACGTTCGTGGCCGTCCTCCGTAGCTCACTGGTGGCAATCACAGAATGGCAACAACCGGGTTGCAATTTCAGACCCCAGATGGAATGCGCACTGCTGACCATTGCAGATTGCTGTATAGTGTCTTTCCGGGTGTGTGATGGCTGACTGACTGACTCTAAGTGTGATGAATTTCGACTCCTAGAGTTAAAACAAGTTCGGAGCGTTGAGAAACGAAAGAGCTCCCTCAATGAAAGCGTCCACTCTTGAGAATGCGTAATGTGGTAGCGACCTGTCAATTTCCACTGCTTATACGCGGAGTGTATTTTACTTACAAATCAGTAATGTGTTACAAAACGGAAATCAACGAAAATCACAGTCTCACCGAGAAAAGAGATAAACACCGATCACACGACCAGAAGTAGCGGGGTAGTTTCGAGCAGTTTCGTTATATCGAAGTTCAATTGCACAGCCGACACCATTCAGGAAAGCAATGGTGGAGCGTTATATTTTTGTTGCTACTGCGCAGTATCGCGTGCTCCTAGCAAACTTATCTGGATTCGAACCAATGGTCACTTGATTGTTCTCAATGGTCTGTGTCACTGGGCTATGGGTATTCAAGGTGGCTGAAAGCAATATAGTGCACTTTAACCTTTAATGTGATGCAGGTTACTGTCACGTAAAAGGCAGGCTTGGCTCCCGAAGGCGCAACTCTCCTAGGCAGGTCGCCTAATGGCTTTATAATCTGCTCGGATAACTACTAATGCTAAATGATCTCGTCACTACTAGACCACAGTTATCGAAGGTGAACTCAACTTCACTGGAATGAGCACGCACCGGACGCACCAGTAAACGAAACGCGCTCGTTATACTGACGACGGTGACAAACACTTTCGTACATTCAGATGACAACGTGAATCAATCGGACAATTTGAATGAGCGGTAATGGATTGACTTGGTTGAAAACTGATATACAGGACAAAGAGCATCGCCTAGGAGCAATCGTGAACGTGAGGATATATATGACAGATGTGGAAGATGGAACCACCGCACAGTAAAAGTGCAAGCAGATAGCGCAGTGGAACTGTAGTTGAGAGAAGCGGTTAAACTGAGAACGGATTGGATGATCATAGAATGAGGTAGGTTGCGAGAGATAAAGAATGTAAGGCGTTTAGGTGAGCGACGAACAAGTTGTGATCATAATTCAAGTGAGCACAGTCAGATGTCGATAGCCGAGCTGGCCGTGTAGTAGGGGGGCGTATTGCAATCGAGGTAAGCAAAGCATCTTAAAAACCAGAGCAGGAGATACGTTTGACGGCCAGATGAGCACTGAAGAATAGCAAGCAGACGGTCGCTGAGCAGAGATAGAAAGCGCAAGAAGCGCGAAAAAGGACGATGCGTTGAACATACCTTGAGCACATGGGCGAAAAATGTGCCACCGGTGTAGTTGTCAGTTTTTAAGAACACCTCCCTCAGTTGGCTCTGACCGATGGGGTTGTACTTGGCGTTGAATTTGTCGAAGCGATGAAACGTATTTCGGTCCTGTGTAAAATGGAGTGACGGAAAGACTAGGCAGATAAGAGGGCAAAATAAGCAAGTTTCGGACACAAAGAACAGTTCGCCTACCAAATGAACAATCTGAGCTATGGACATTTGTTTCTACATCAAAGTAGAACTAGCTTGAAAACACATCAATATTTGTCAAACTTCCGAAAACACGTAGGACCGAGTACATACATTTGGGTCGGGATCCGTCACCTTTTGCGATATGATAACCTTGGCCATTGACCGATCAGTCACGTTCACGAAGTCGCAGCCATCAAATGCAAGAGGAAAATCGTTTACGCTGATCTATGAAAGCGAAAAAAACGACGCTGAACATGCAGCTTCAAGGGGGGCCGTTTGCATAACGAATTTGACAGGGACGACACCGAGGTGGCAGTTAGTGATAGCTATTCCCAAATTAGACTGGCACTGTAGCGGCGAGGAATAACATGAGAAATTCATGAGTAACTTAGGTTGCACCAGGAAACGTGACCCTAATAAGTTTCTGGCACAGCCTTCCAAGTCAGGAAAAAACCTAAAGAGCGACCAAGGATCTCTCGCGCCTGAACAGAATAAACATTAATGCTACAAATGGGTCCGAAGTGTCGCGATGAAGTTTGGCAAAGTACACCGGTCCACGCCCACTATTCGCTAGCGAAAGGTTAGGTAAATTTGACCTTCTCTGTACACAAGAACGAAGTGCATTACTCACGTTAGACCGGATCAATACAGAATTATACCAGTTCATGTAATCACAGTGGGCAAGCACTGGTTGACTTTCCGTACTTTGGCCTAATACTGTTGCGCCCGTCTTGGATATCAATCACGATGTCATACGTCTGCAGTGAATGCGGTCAAGTGCATACGCTGGAAGGCAAAACACCGGAGGAAAACCGCTTCTTTCCTGTTTGTGATAATCTGGAAACCCATACTGACACAACATCGCGAAGCACCCGGATCGTATGCCGATGAGGGTGATATTGGTGACATTAAAACTCCCGGGGTGCGTACAATCTGGTGGAAGCAGCTGTTCGTCGAACTGGACAGCATCAACCGCCAATAGCCAGGCTCCCAGCGGCTACCGGGGAACAGAGGCGGCTTATGTGATACAAACGCCAAGTGCGTTTGATCTCTTGTACATACATGATGTTCGATTTAAACCCAACCAGATGGGATGGGAAAGCAAACAAATGGGGCAGATAGATTGGCAAGAAGCACGCATACATCACGTGAATCCAAAGCACACTTATTTCGATTCGAGGTTTGTCTGAAGTGCCAATTATGTAGAGGAATTGTGAGGTACGATTTCAAGCTGGAACGCGACTTGTTTTCAAGTGAACCCCGGTTAATCCGGCCAATAGAAACGTGTCTGAGGAGATGCCCGCGAAGTTACGTACTGCGGTGGTAAAAATGTCCTACTGGTATTCTGTACAAGTCCAAACTTCGAGTGCTAGTCCGTTCATCTAAGCGAATTGCACAAGAAAGCACAAACCCGGCTGTGAGGTACGCCGTTGGAGGGAGGCAACTAACGCTTATAGACAATTGCCTTTCACTTATCACACGTACACTAGTACATCATTCAGATGTTAACCATAGTTTTTCTAAACAGTTTCTAAAGTATAAAATTAACTGCGCGCGTTGAAGCAACACAGAAAACGTCTTCACCGCGCATACGGGAGAAAGTAATCATTTCAACGATTAAGCGATTGTCATCGAGTATGTACCGATTTCGAACGTCTGGGCATTTTCCAAGGCTCTACTTGACTGCCCAACATCCTGAGGAATGGCTTCATCGGTATGGCACTGCTGATTTTAACAGACGACTCTTCTGTTCTAGAAGCCGGAGGTTATTGGACAGCCTATAAATATGGGCAAAGTCTAACTCAGTTGTAGATTGTTTTGGCGTCATTTTGGTTAGTATGCTATTTTAACGGAATCAACCGGTTTTTAGTTTTCCACTCGGCTGGGATAGATATATTGAGGAGGAGATGAATGTTTCAATCGAAATAGCAAAGGAAGTGGAAGATGTAACAGATGGTGACAAAGAAGACTGGAAATGTGAGAATGTGTTTCTGGGTGAAAAATTTTCAAAGCTGCAGTAATCCCAAATGGAGGCTGTAATCGACAACAGCAGCTGTCTGTGTGGAACACGCGGGCCAATCCTGCTGATCTTTTCACAAACGCCACCAATGAAATAAATTGTGACGCTGATTCTGCATACACTTTCGAAGAGTGGTTCAAACGCAGGGAGGATATGTTCTGTACAGATATCAGTAATCAAGGTGATCCTTGGAAATTGCAAACGCTATTCCGTAAGCTCGGTACAAATGAACATACAAGGTCCATCAACCATATACTACCCAAACATCAGAAGGACCGCATGTTTGAAGAGGCAGTGTGAGAGTCCAGTGAAATTTCTGCTGATTCAGCACTTCTGCTTGGTAGCCGCTAACAGAGCCTAAAACTTTCTAGTAGGTAGCGGACGGTTACGGGGAGCTAACAAACGTAGTCAACTGCAAGTGTAGACGTTTCGAGTTAGGTTCTTTGACGGATGACCAGTTCAAATGGCTCACGTTGTCAGTGCGCACGTTGTCAGTCCGCACGTGAAACTGGAATCCGCATGCAGAATCTTACTAAGCTGGAGTCAGGATCCAGACTTGACGCTGAAGTTCCTTGTGGGTGAATGCAAACGTCTGGTAAGCATGAAATATGGCAGAGTTGCCAATTATTAACGATCATGCTGTGAAAAAAGTAAAAATTATTAGTCCGAACAAATCGTTCAAAATAGCTCCAAATAGACTACCTATCGCATTCTGGTCATGTAACGAATGACGTATTGTAAAAAATGCCATAATCGAGGCCATAAAGACTGTCGCAACGAAGTTGGACCTTAAACTGGTGCGACAGTTTATGTACCTGGTCGACCCATTTAGCTATACTGGGTGGTGACCCCGGGCCCCTTGAGAGCTACTCCTACCAGTTTGGTCAATGGCTATAGGTTAGAGAAACCTAGTCCCCTGGTCCTCCAGGTTGCGGGTTGGAAATAGCATGGTATACACTTCGTAAACCCAAATCAATGCCACCTCTTGTCTAGGTCTGGGCGCCACATCAGTGTCCACGTACAACCTTGACTACTGCTTCAAAATTCAACCACGAGTTACATCGGCCGTCGCGCAGGTTATCAAGGGTCACCTTGTCTGCTTGCATACAGCAGGGAGGATAATCGAGAACAGGCTACTGCTGGCGTCTCCCTTCTTCTTACTCCACCTGTTTTTTTACTCCCCTCCCAACGCCCCAGCACCAATCTTCCTCCGATAACTCCCAGCTTAACTGACAGCAGGTGTAACGCCACTGCAGTTCTACCATCTGCAGTTATCATCCCGCATCACCCACTGAACACTGATCGCCAACAGATGAGTATTAGGAAACGCTGTCCCGTTTCCATGGCGAAGTTAAACATTCCCACTACAAGACAAACAGGTCAACAGGCTGCACTCACACGCCCGTCGGACACCCTAGGCATTGATGCGTGTTGTGTAACCGAAATCAGGATCAATGTCCTAAACGGCGTTGTTGAATTAACTGCGCCCGGCTTGTACTCCCGCTATTGGTTATACGCATCCGGAGACGCTGGTGCGGTAGCCACTGGTCATGCTCGGGTGAACATTGTTCTCAGCTCCAGAACTGTTATCGTTGGTTGATCGGATTCCGGTGAGCAGTCGTCTGTGGCAGTCCGTTTGACGAGATGGACCAAGGTTGATTCACGGATTAGTACAAGAGGCTGTTTGTTTGTGGTTTCCGCTTATGACCTCACCGATTGCAGTTACGATGCGGCCAAGGACGCCTTCTGTCACGAACTGAACACGCTACTATGCAATGTTACTAGTTCAAATATCGCAGTTTTTGCAAGGAATATGAATGTGTAAGTAAGTCGTCTGAGGTCTTCAGAACCTCAGCTAGGTGGTAAGTATGGACTTAACTCCGACCGCAGGGACAACATCGAGCGACTGTTGCAACCGTGTGTGGAGCACCGGCTGTTACTCAGTAGCACCGCTTTCAGGCACAGTGGCCGCCGTAGCTCCAGCTATACCTGGCCAGCGATTAACCCAAATTGATCACGTTAACTTAAGTTAGAGGTGACGTGGTACCATCTTAGACTGTCGCTCGTTCTCGAATAACTGTATCGACTATGTCTGGTACGTTATCATTTTACCATGAACTTTACCGGGACACGTACCCAGCGCATCCCGTGATTGGCAACTAAGTAGTTATCTCAGTCTCTGGTCAGGCAGGTCTAGGAGGATGCGCTGCGTACCGAACGTTCCCTCTCTCGTCTTAATGACACTGGGCCGCAATGGAATAGGATATCGGCTGCCATATGCGACGCTGGAGCCTCTGATTGCGGCACTATCAATCGTCACTGCATCAGCCACTGGATATCCGAGAGGTCAATAAACCTGTTGGAATCCAGAAGAAAACTACCTGCTGACTTTGAGCACAATGTAACTAGGCGGACTATTAGCCGCGGACTAAAGCGGAGCCCCTGTGCTGACAAGGAAGCTTGATGGACCAGTTGGGTTCAAGAAGCGGATAAGGCAGAAACAGTTGGCAATTTTCGAAAATGCTTCCAAATTATCCGTACCACTGGTTCTAAAAGACAAGGAATCAGCGAAACACTCAGAGACAGCGTGGGTGCCATTATTCACAACAAGCAGCACCGTATGGCTCGTTAGGCAGAGCACTTTCGAGAACAGTTTAGTTGTCCACCTGCTTCTGGAACCGTTCCCAAAAAGGTGGTTCCGGCTGAGCCATGGCCGGTTAGTTTCAATGCTACCTCGGAGGCTGAAGCCCGGAACGCGACCACATCAGTCAATCGCTTTCGAGCTGCTGACACGATTGCCCGCGCACCTGTACATCTACTTTAGGATGGTGGTGAGGTTCTCTGCAAAGCACTGAACACCCTGCTCGAACATGTCTAGAGGGAAGAGACCAACCCG